AGGAAAGACAACACATATTTATTATAAATAACTAACTTAACTTATTTCTTTAATCTCTTCAAATTAGTCAACTAGTTTTTATAATTAAGACTGGAGGTAGTAGAGAATGTTCTTACATAACAAAAATTATAGTATAATGATGCTATGTTTTTGTTTGTTTTAGCTTAAAATGATATCGATTCAAACTCAATAAAGTGGAGGAAAAAAATATAAAATTAAAAATTCAATCGATTTATCTAAAACCCTTTCATGATCATGATGAGATGAGTCAGATCCAATTCAGAGACATGAGGGATGGACTGATTTAGGTTTTAATATCATGAGCTTCCATGTTATGGTTTGGGGAGATTGGAATCCAAGTTGCACATTGTTGGTTTGTACGTATTAAAATGATTGGGGAAAGAACAAGCTGGGGCCTACGGGTGAGGGGAGTGAATGATTTAGCGAGGCGGGGGGAATAGTCAGAGACACGTCAGAAAGGTGTATATCACATTCGCCGCCTCGACTCAAAATGGATAAAACGCTTCCAACTATTCGTTTAATTTTTATTTTTAGTTTAAATATAAGATCTTAAATTAATTTATCTCTCATATTTATTTATTTATTAAGATAGTTCTTATAATAATATCTTTCCGGTCCTTAATATATGACCTAATTTTTGAGTTGGTTTTAGTTTTAATATAAAACTCATTTATCATATTTATTAATTTTTTTTGAATTACCCATATGGATACTCTCTCAACTATAATCAAGTAGAACATGGAGGAGGTATTAAGAAAGATGATTATGATGCTTTAGGAAAAATGTATCACATTTCTCATAATTAACTAACTTACCTAACTTTCTTAATCTAATTAAATTAATTAAATGAGTCTTATATTAAGAACCGAAAGAGTAATAGTTTTAACTAATACACTTAATTAGTAAGAATATTTTAAAAAAAGCAATACATATTTATTACAAATAACTAACTTAACTAATTTTTTAATCTATTTAAATTAATAAGTTAACTTTTATATTAAAGATAGAAGGTACTATTACCGATCCTAATTATAAGAGCTAGTTGACTAATTTGAGGAGATTAAGAAAAGAAATTAAGTTAGTTATTTATAATAAATATGTGTTGTCTTTTCTAAAATATCTTTACTAATCAAGTATATTAGTTAGAACTATCATGTTAAAATAACTATTTTAAAAAATATATAAATATGAGAGGCAAAATGAAATGGAAATTTATATTTAAAATCAAAATAAAAATAAAAGGTTTTATATTTATTTATGATTTATAATTTTGGAAATTTTACTTTTCATGTTAGAGGTGTACTAGTCATTATGAAAGAGATAAGAACCTAAACCAACCCTGACGACCACACAAACCTTTTTCAGCCTTAGCTGTGATCCACTCAATCCCACGTCAGCACGCGGTCATTTGCAATGGGACACGCTCCTCCGCTGTACCTTCCCGTTCGCCTCCTCTTTCTACTTTGATTCCAATTAATTGATTTTATTTATAATTAAAAATAAAATATTATTACTAATCTTATTTATAAGATTTTGTTTGTAATTTATAAACTAAATCTTATAAATTAGGAGTGGTATTTTATTTTTTATTTTTCCAATTTATGATATTTCATCCTGCTTCTAGATATAAAAGTTAACTAAGAAATTTGTTTTCATTATAAGTATAAAATAATAATTTATTTTGTACTTTAAATTTATAATTTTGAGCTATTATTATTGTAAGCTTTTACAGTTTAATCAAATTTTAATTTTGATGCCCGTTGTTGCAAACAGGTTTTTCGTCTCGTATAGTTTATTGTAGTTTTATAAGAACTTGGCTCTAAGTTTAAAGCTGTCAACTTTGTTAACACCGTTAAGCACAGATTGAAAAAAACAAATCTTATTAAAAATATAAGAACTAAAATCAAAATTTTTTAAAAATATTTTTTGTCCTATTTATAGGATAGGGAGAGAAGATTTTTTTGATTATATTTATAAGGCACTGAAATTTTTTTTATATAGATGTACAATTTTACTCTTTATTTATTATTGTTTTGAGTTTGTTTACATAAAGTATAATGTATATTTAATAGGAATAAAGTCAAAAATTGTTGAAGTTTAAATGAGAGTTAATAAATTTAAAGATTTTTCTTGATCTATGTAAAATATATTAAAAGTGACTTATAAATAAGATCAAAAAAGTATGTCAACCATAAGCATAACTCACTGTAAGATTTGTACCAAAAGAAAAAAAAACTCACTATAAGATTAAACAAAAACAGACAACTTAAATGCGTGGTGAAAGACAAAGAAATTAATTTTGATTGGAAAAATTGATGTTGAGTTAAAAAAAACTAATTTTTAACAATAAAATATGATTCTCAACATTTCAAGTCATACTCTCTTTTTTTTCAACTTTCATTTCTAATTTCATTAATTTCAAAAAGTGAAATTGTTTTCTCCAATTTCCCCTAAAAAAAAAGAAAAATTAGGAAAACTTTTGTGATTTATACTTTTAATAAATTTTGGTTCAGATTTTTATATTTTTAGTGAGTTTTGATTTTAATCATTATAGTCATTTAACGTGGTTAAACTCAACCTGAAGTCCTTATGAAATTATAAAAACTAAATTCTAGATGGAAAAAACTATATGGACAAAAAACTATAGAAATTAAAACCAAAATTTGATCAAACTATAAGGATCAATAATAATAATTAATCTTATAATTTTTTTTTCAAGTTGTTCTTATTGATTACATATATATTAAGATATTTTTATCAAGGAGTACAGTGGTTCTAAGACAAATAATTTTAAAAAATATTTTAGAGAAACCAATACATATTTTTAACCAAAAACTAATTTAATTAATTTTTTAAATTTTTATAAATTAGTTGTCTAGTTCCTATACTAACCACACGAGAGAGTAATATAATTTTACAGGAAGCAACTAACTTACTGATCAACAAATATGTCTTAAATTTATTTAAGCTTTAAAAAAATTCATATTAACATATATGAGCGAGGGAAGAAGATATACACAATTACATTTGATTGAATTGCATGTGTTAAGAAGTTTTATTAAGGGCTAGTTCTTTTTTTTTTTTAATTTTTTTTATAATTAAACACATGCATGTATATAAACATTTCAACATGAGGTTCGGGCTTGAGACCCCATCCAAATACAGCGGCTGGTGCGATCACAAGACATTAAAGTGTAATTCTAATCAATGTTTTAAAAGCCGGACCGGAAGTCGAGCCGGAAAGATCAACGGGTCATGGTTCAATCGGTCGGATCGGTCGGACCGTTTGGTCAGACCGGTGATGCAATAATTAATTTAAAACAATATTATATACATATAATTAGTATATATGAAAAATATCAAATTATTAAATAATTTAGAAATGCATTTAAATAATCTAAAATTATAATGAAATCATTGAAAATGGACTAAAACCTTATATATTTAAATTTATGTATGTTAAAATATTTAATGATATTACAAATTATCAATTCATTCAAATCAAAATATTTTTTTAAACGATAGACCAAATATCAAAACAAAAAGACTAGCGACTTACGATTTTAACATCACAATATATGAAATTTTCAATGAAATAATACTCTATGGTTATAAATAGTCTAAAAATATATTAGGATACTTAAGGGGATCAATTTTTTTTATTTTTCTTCTATTTTTTTTAAATTTTTAGTATTTTTTCAGTCAGGCTAAAAAACCGTCCGGTTTTCTGAAAACCGTTCCGATTCCCGGTCCAACTCCGGTTTCCGGCTTAATAACGGCTCAACTCCGGTCCAATCCGGCTCAACTATATGAACGGTTTTTTGGTCCAAACCAAGCCGTTAACGAGTCCGGGTCACGGTTCAACCGGTTCAACCATCCGGTCCGGTCCGGTTCTTAAAACATTGATTCTAATGCACATGATTAATAAGGTTATTTTAAAAAAATTAGATCTATTTATTATAAATAATTAACTTAACTAATTTTTTGAATATTGTCAAATGATTTATCTTATATTGAAAATGGAGATAATGACAAGTTAACTAATTTTTTTAATTTATAAAAATTAGTTATATAACTCATACATGTGTCTTTCTTTTTTTTGACCAGGGCATATATGTGTCATTATTATTTTATTTTCTTTAAATCAAAATAATATTGCTCAACAAAGAAATTTTTTTAAAAAATTTCACCTGATCACCTTGTCTAAAACTCTTGATCCCCTAGAAACTCGTTCACCACTATGACAAACAGGATTTTAATATTATGGTTATTACTTATTATGTATATAATATAAATTGTGTTATTTATGGTGAGTGGTTGGATAGAAAGATAAAAGTTTTAATCAAAATATATTTTTAGTTTTAAAAGAGATGTTTTGATTAATCAAATTAACTTATAACACAGGTCTTTACTTCACCCGAAGACGCAGGGAATATAAATTGAAACGTAAAACGGGAAAATTGCAACAAAATATCAAAGATATATATGTCGGTGTAATTTTCTATTTTTAAAAAATATGTTTAAAATTAAAGTACCAAAAAAACATTGGTTCTAAAATTAGATTTTTTTTCAGCACAGTACTCTATAATTGTACTTTGTAGGATTTAATTTCCTTCACGTGCCATGGTTTAATTGGAAAAAGCAATACTACATATCCCTAAAACAAAATTATTGGAAAGAAATTAATTATCCACAAATCATAATTTAATTCTGTTGTCGTCAGGTTACTTTGAACTTTTCATAGACATATTAAAAAAATGAAAACAAAAACCAATTTAGTAATTTACTATTAGCCTATCACTATTTACTGCACTTTTTAAAATTGCTTATCCAATAATTGGCTTCAGCTGGGTCCCACGTGTCATCCACTTGTTCTTCGCTCTGTTGCTTCCCTCATTGACTCTGTCATGGCAATTTTTTTAGGGTTTCAGATATTTTTCCCTTTTCTATTTCTGTAACAAACAAACGCATAGCCGTCTTCCATTCTCTCTTAAAAACCGCCTTCTTCACAATCCTTCCTTTCATCGCTCTCTCCTACTCACCATGACGTCTTTCTTCTTATCCTCTCTCTCTTCCGTTCCGCCCCCAATCCAGCTCCTATATCTATCTTCCCCAGTTCTTCCCCAATCCCAACCTGTAATTCCTCTGTTTCTGACTGTATGAAGATTCCCAGCCCAATGTTGTGTGTTCGTCACACACCCTCAATGAATAGATCGATTTTTTTCGATCTGGGTCTGTTCGAAATGATTATTTGCGGTAACTGATTGTTCCATCATCACGGTCATCGCCACCGACCACCACCGCCGCCGAATCCGCCGCCGAGCCCGCCGCCACCCTGTTGTTGTTGTTGTCGTTGTCGTCCGACATGGAGGAGGGACAGAGACAGTCGAGGAGCATCATCTTCAACAAGTATGAGATGGGGAAGCTCCTTGGCCAAGGGAATTTCGCAAAGGTCTACCATGGAAGAAACCTCGTCACCAACGAGAGTGTTGCGATTAAGGTGATTAAGAAGGAGAGGCTTGAAAAAGGGAAGGACAAGCTCATGAAGCAGATCAAGCGAGAAGTCTCTATAATGCGATTGGTCCGGCACCCACACATCGTGGAGCTGAAAGAAGTCATGGCGACCAAAGGAAAGATCTTTCTGGTTATGGAGTATGTTAAAGGCGGCGAGTTGTTCGCTAAAGTCGCGAAAGGAAAATTGAAGGAAGATTTGGCGAGAAAGTATTTCCAGCAATTGATTTCCGCCGTCGATTTCTGTCACAGCCGCGGCGTCACTCACCGGGATCTCAAGCCTGAGAATCTCTTCCTCGACGAAAACGAGGATCTTAAGGTCTCCGACTTTGGCCTTTCTGCGTTGCCGGAGCAGCGCCGGTCCGACGGGATGCTCGTGACTCCGTGTGGGACGCCGGCTTACGTGGCGCCGGAGGTCTTGAAGAAGAAAGGCTACGATGGGTCGAAAGCAGATATCTGGTCTTGTGGGGTAATTCTCTATGCTCTGCTTTCTGGGTATCTGCCATTTCAAGGTGAGAATGTGATGAGAATTTACAAGAAGGCATTCAAAGCTCAGTACGTATTACCAGATTGGATTTCACCCGAAGCAAAGAATTTGATCTCAAAATTATTAGTGGTCGACCCAGAAAAGAGATATTCGATCGAAGACATCATGAAGGATCCGTGGTTTCAATATGGGTTCATGAGGCCAATCGCATTTTCAATGAGGGAACCAAATTTTGAAGATTTCGCAGATAATGACAACATCGAAGAAGTCGAAGAAATGGTGGGAGGAGGACGACAGGGAGGGGAAAATAATAATAATAATAACCCAGCACAATCACGTCCATTTTACAATGCGTTTGAGATAATTTCATCATTGTCACATGGGTTTGATCTGAGGAGATTGTTTGAGACGAGAAAGAGGTCGCCGTCGATGTTCACGACAAAGTTCTCGGCAGCGGCGGTGGTGGGGAAGCTGGAGGCGGTGGCGAGGAAGTTGAATCTGAGGATAACGGGGAGGAAGGAGTACATGATGAGGATGCAGGGGACGACGGAGGGAAGGAAAGGGAAGCTGGGGATGACGGTGGAGGTGTTCGAGGTGGCGCCGGAGGTGGCGGTGGTGGAGTTTTCCAAGTCCTCCGGCGATACGTTGGAGTACGTGAAACTGTGTGAGGAACAAGTGAGACCTGCGCTGAAAGACATAGTCTGGAGCTGGCAAGGTGACGCCAATCCTCATCCATAAGCTCAAGGCAGAGATATCAATGTTGGAGGAGAGATTGATTCTATGTAAAGAAGAACAATAATTTGGGGATGTTTTTTATTTGATTTATTTCTACTACTGCTACTATTATTTAATTTGGGTGCCAGGCTTGTGAATCCTATTATTTGTAGTTTAAATTTCCAAGGCTGTGACTGTGAACTGAGAAGAAGAGTGAGCAAAGATTATTCAGGGTCTTGAAACGTTAGTTGAATTAGTTATTATTAAACTAACAAGAGTGGTCTAATCAGTTTTCTTTTTTGTTCCCCACCACCCGGTTCATCAGAATTTTGTCCTGACACATCTGGGTATGGTGGGTGAGTCTCCCAACAGGGGTTTTTTACATTCATGAGGAATCGAACTCGAGACCTCACTTAAGCGGAATCGAGCCGCTTATCACTCGGATCAACCCCTGTTGGTAGAGTGGCCTAATCAGTTTATAACTTGTGAAATTAAAAATTTTGGTGGTGGGTAATTTACAAGTGTCACTGTAGTGAATATGAGATATTAATGTTAAAATGGTGTTTTTGTGGGTTTTCTCAAAAATTAAAGTGATTTAGGGGTTATAATTTTTTTTAAGAAGAAAAAGGTTAATAATTTTTTATAACTTAAACCGAAAAGATAATAATGAGATTTAAAATTTTATATTACATTCATTGCCATTTACTTATGGGAAAGTTACCCAAAAAAAACCATGGAATTAGAAAAATTGTAAATTGGGACTCATAACAATATTATTATGGGTTTTGATAATAATTTTTATGAACTGGTTTTTGCGTGTGATTTTTCTAATTCTATAATTTTTTTTTGTGATTTTCCTTTTACTTATTAGTCATTCTCTTCAATGCTTATACACAAGTCCAAATAAAATGAAAAAAATAGAAGTCCAAAAATTGACAAATTCAAATAATAACTGGTTTTATCAAGCATCACTTGTTATTGATTAGTCATGTTAGCACCATCTCAAACCCAGTTTTGGCTGACCAGTTAATTCAGCTTAATTAATATCTTGGTAAATTTATAGCTTGCTGAGGACATGAAGTTAATTTTTTGATTTGCTTTCTTGTGATAAGAATAGAAAAGAAGATTAAAGTAGGATTGGGGATAATATGCTATTTAATATTAATGTCTGTTATTAGTAACTCCCAAAACAAAATATAAACTCATCAGAAAATTTTTCAAAAAAAATAAAATAAAACCCTTTCTGCAGTATCATTATCATAATACGTTAAGAGAAGAGGATGGAAATGGAAAGATGAAGATGGTGGAAGGATGTGACATGAGGAAAGGGAAAGATTATGAAGAAAATTAAACGTGGAGAGTCCACATCATAGCGTACGGTACTCCCTAATCAGATATTGCTTCATCAATAAGGCAGATGAGGTAAACGACACAGTTTGGATCATTTTAGAACCTGGTTTCTTGAGGTGCTCATTTTCTAATTTCTTCACTAACTTCACCCAAAGGGGGAGAATAGATACCCTAGCCATAGTGTCACGCAAGCACGCAAAAATTGGACTCATAATGAAGCATTTATTGCCAACTATTATTATTTTATTTTTATTTCCTGCACTGATTTTTTTTTTTTATGATCTTCTTATTTATTGGGACAGTTTTATCCCAACATATTAAATTTATAACATTACAAATTCCCTATATATATTAATTACGAACAACGATTTTAATTATTTTTTTACTCTACAAATTAGTTAAAAGTATTTTATATTTAAAATTCAAGGAAGTATCTAGTGAAGTCAAGTTCAAAATTTCATGTAAGATTTGAAATCAAGTATTGGATAAATATGAGAGTTAATTTCATTCTAGACACCAGCTCTTTAAATTTAAATTAACTGATAATGCTAAATATTAAATAGTTTGAATTGAATACTTTATAAAGTATCATCAAAATATTAAATAAATAAATGCAAATTATCATGTCCGCAATAAAAAGGAAGAGAAACTAAATTCGCAAATATACATAAATGGTTTTCTCTTAGTACAGCAAAATTTCAGGTGGAATGTGTCAAAAAAAAAAACAGCTACCTTATCAAGATTAGAATAAGTGAAATTAGAAGTTCTTTTTTTTTAAATGTGATTATATAAAAACTTAATTACTTATGAAGAGAATCTCGTGATCAGTACTAAAATTTTTTTGAATAATTTACGATGTAAGGGGATTAGATATTTTTGGCTAAAAAAAAAAAGGTTGATCAAGGGAGTCATGGCCAGATGGGACAAATATAGAAGAAAAAGAAATGTTGGGGGGCGTAAATAAAATAAAAGGGGAGTGGTGGGGTCAGGTGGCGTGGCGTGGGTGAAAAGCAAAAGGGGCCTTTATGGAAAAAAAAATGTTACTTTTTGCAGAACAAACCAAATAAAAGTGCAACGAGCATGAGGCCGACCCTCCATTATATCCATACTGAGTGGCTCCCTATTCCCAAACCCCACCCCTAAAAATTCAACATTTACAACTACTTTTATTCTGCCTTGTGGGTCCCCACTCTTTTGAAATTGCTTTCTTTGGACCAATTTTGGCAAATGGATTTCAAAAGCACTTATCACGAGCAGCACGATAAACTTGCCAACCAAAAAAGTCCTGTGTTTGATATGAAATCAGCTCATTTCGTTTAATTATATTACAAAATCGGTCTTACATTTAGTTCTAAAAAAGTAACATACTCCTCTAATCCTATTTATTGGACAGAAAAAGAAGATTTTTTTAATCATTTTTATAAGTTACTTCATTAAATTTTTAGTGTGAATATACTATTTTGTCTATCATTTATTATGATGTAGGTGGTTATCTTTTTTGAAAAGTACATATATTAAATATGGGTAAAGTTGAAAAATTATAATATTTTAATGGATAGTTAATGCATTTTAAAGTTTTTCTTGATCTGTGTGAAATATGCTGGAAGTGCCTTATAAATAGGATCAGAGGAGTATATATTTAGGTTAAATTGTATTCAATACTTTAGGGTGTTTTTTTAGTGGCATGAGGTATCCAAGATAATTTTTTTATGTATTCAGCATTTGAAGTATTTTTCATATAACAATCAATATTTTAAAACAATTTTTTTATGTATTTAACATTTTAAAGTTTTTTGTTTTCAGTACGTAGCAAAACACTCCTATTTGTTGGGAAATAATTTTTATATTCTAAATCAACCACCTTTCGACTCAGGGGGGAAGGTCGGCAGAGGAAATTAGATTTTTTTTATTTATTGCTGCTTCGAGATTTTTTGTTGGTTTCACTTTCTATTCCCAAAAAAAAAAAATTACTTTTTCAATATCACTCTAACTTCAAAGCTCATTTCGCTTTTTCCTGAAAGGCTGATGATTTTGCATACAAACATTGGCCACGTCTTTGATGATCAGGTTGTTGTCAGTCTGCTTCTTGTGTTGTCTCACATTACCTAGCCATGACAACAGAGATTTGAAGGTGTCCGAACCTCATTCATCAATCAAAATGCAGGCCAATTCACCTAACTATTGTTTTGCACTGCCTCGACACTCTCTGTCTGTGTCTGTGTGTCTGTGTGAGAGAGAAGATAAAGTCTATCCAACTGCTGTCTAATAAATTAGGTGATGCTTGAGGTTATCTAACTCTTGTTGACATTTAGATGGTAGTGATCCATTTGATTCACAAGCTTAAATGTGATACTTTAATCTTCAATTCAAATACAGATTGCTTGTTATTATTGGGCCACTTACTAAATCAAAATAACATCTTATCTGTAACATTTTGTCATTGTTAAGTCACCCCTTCAGACAAGGGAACGAAAGAAGCCTCCCAATTAAACAATTTTACAGTGAGTACCTAACTGCCATTCCTTTACAAAAATTACTATTTTAATTGAGTCAACTCTCTTGAAAAGAATTCTTTCTCATATCTATGAACATTCATGTAGTTAAAATAACAACATTTTTTTATCAATGAAATTTTCTCTTTCCACTCACTCTGTTTCTTTTCATTGCATTCCATTTTACTTGTCCAATTCGATTCTTCTCAAGCACTAAACTGCGTGTCATAGTTAACAGCTAGTTGCCTCAGCAACAGCGCTAATAAGATTCCCTCCCTTATTGTAGTTTTCCCCTTCCACTAGTTGTATTAAATGAAAAAAAAGGCTCATCCTAACTAATGGCCACTGTTATAGTTTCCCCCCCCCCCCTCCACTTGAGTGTATTGAAGATGCCCTTCTCCATTGCAGTAAACTGCTTGCACACTTCATTAACATATGTTTAGTTTTGAGATTAAATATGAAAGAAGAGCCCTTCTGTTTGCTCAGGAAGGGAACCTAGCCTGGCAAATCCTAAGTACATATAACTGTCATAACGGAGAAAGAAAATATGAAACAAGACGAGATAAATTCTAACACTAACAAAGCCAAAATTAGAAGCTCTCTGCACAACCTCATTGCATGAAACTTAAAGAACGGTAACCTTTGTTGGCACCTTTGCTCATATTCTTGATGCATTTCCCACTACAAGATTCAAGCCTTTCGCAATTTTGCCTTCTGCACGTTTTCAGTGTCTGGTTCGATCTTCTTCATACCAGAAACAATCTTCAGTCTCCTGGTTTTAGGCCTCCCAACTGATTCTTGTTCATTATTAGTTTGAGGAGGATCAACCGCAGCTTCATCAACTTCAATGGGTTCATCAAGTGCAGAATCATCCCTAGGTCTGATCTTTTTCTTATCAGAAACTACAGTCACCCTTTTGGTTTTTGACTTCCCAGCTGAGTCTTGTTCATCATTAGTTCTAGGCGGGTCAACTGCTGATTCATTAACCACAATGGGTTCATCAAATGCAGAATTATCTTTAGATTCAATCTTTTTCTTATCAGAAAGAATCTTCAATCTTCTGGTTTTAGACTTCCCAGCTAATTCTTGGTCATTATTAGTCTGAGGAGGATCAACTGCTGATTCATCAGCCACAATGGGTTCATGTAGTGCAGAATTATCTATAGGTTCAATCTTTTTCTTATCAGAAAGAGTCTTTGATCTTCTAGTTTTAGACTTCCCAGCTGATTCTTGGTCATTACTAGTTTGAGGAGGATCAACTGTTGATTCATCTGCCACAATGGGTTCATCAAGCACAGGATTATCTTTGGGTTCGATCTGTTTCTTTGCAGGAAGAATCTTTGATCTTCTGGTTTTAAACTTCCCAGCTGAGTCTTGCTCATTCTTAGTTCTAGGTGGATCAACTGCAGAGTCATCAGCTTCAATAGGGTCATCAAGTGCAGAATTATCCCTAGGTTTGGTCATTTTCCTATCAGAGAGAATTTTCGATCTTTGAGTTTTAGACTTCCCAGTTGAGTCTTGCTCATTCTTAGTTCTTGGTGGATCAACTGCAGAGTCACCAACTTCAACGAGTTCATCAAGTGCAGAATTATCCTTAGGTTCGCTCTTTTCCTTATCAGAGAGAATCTTCGATCTTTTGGTTTTAGGGTTCCTTGTTGAGTCTTGCTCGTTCTTAGTTCTAGGTGGACCAACTGCAAAGTCATCAGGTTCAATGGGTTCATCAAGTGCAGAATTATCCCTAGGTTCAATCTTTTCCTCATCAGAGAGAATCCTCAATCTTTTGGTTCTAGACTTCACAGCTGACTCTTGCCCATTCTTAGTTCTAGATGGATCAACTGCAGATTCACCAGCTTCAATGGGTTCATCAAGAGCAGAATTATCCTTAGGTCCAATCTTTCTCTCATCAGAAAGAATCTTTGATCTCTTAGTTATAGACTTCCCAGTTGACTCTTGCTCATTCTTAGTTCTAGGTAGGTCAACTGCAGAGTCATCAATTTCAATGGTTTCATCAAGAGCAGAATTATCCTTAGGTTCAATCATTTTCTTATCAGAGAGAATATTTGATCTTTTGGTTTTAGAACTCCTAGTTGAGTCTTGCTCATTCTTTGTTCTAGGTGGATCAACTGCAGAGCGGTCAGCTTCAATGGGTTCATCAAGTGCAGAATTATCCTTAGGTTCAATCTTTCTTTTATCAGAAAGAATCTTAGACCTCTTGGATTTAGACTTCCCAGTTGATTCTTGCTCATTTTCCGTTTGAGGAGGATCAACAGCAGAGTCATCAGCTTCAATGGGTTCATCAGGTGCAGAATTATCCTTCGGTTCAATCTTTCTCCTGCCAGAAAGAATCTTTGATCTCTTGGTTTTACGCTTCCCAGCTGATTCTTGTTCATTTTTAGTTTGAGGAGGATCAACTGCAGATTCATCAGCTTCAATGGGTACATCAAGTGGAGAACCATCTCTATGTTTGATCTTTTTCTTATCAGAAGCTACCGTCAACCTTTTGGCTTTTGACTTCCCAGCTGAGTCTTGCTCATTCTCAGTTCTAGGTGGATCAACTGCAGTTTCACCAGCTACAGTGGGCTCATCAAGCGCAGAACTATCTTTAGGTTTGGTCATCTTCTGATCAGAAAGAATCTTCAATCTTCTGTTTTTTGACTTCCCAGCTGAGTCTTGCTCATTCTTAGTTACAGCAGATTCATGAGCCACAGCGGGTTCATCAACCACAGAATCATCCTTGGATTTTCTAGCAGGTTTCACAGATTCCGATTTGGAGATTCTAGCAGATGCTCTTCCCCTATAGATTCATTAGAAGGTTTCAATAGGGACTCAGAAAACACAGTTAGACCATCTATCATGCACACTAACCTTGTCCTGCAACAACTGGCTTTTGCTCCCTTGGCGGACTCCGGTGCTGAATTTCCTTTTCCTTTATCTTCTCTACACATCATGAACAATAAAGTCAATAGAACATTTAAAACTTGAAAGCCATAAGAAGCAGATTCAAACCAAAAACAAATAAAGGATGCATAATTAATTAATGCCATCAACGTAGTGACTACATTTATGTCCAGCGACTGATAAGAACTCCAACACTATGTTCAAGGTGCCTAAAACAAATATTCCTATTCTCTTTCAAGGAAAGATCGATTGAAAATTTGTGAGCATTGAAATCTGGTTGTACCCCTAGATTTGAGACCTCAGACCACATATACAGCATCTGGCTAAAGCAAAACATAAGCAGCAAGGAGGCCCTATATCGGACAGAAGACTAGCACACCTATAATGACAATGGGGTCAACAAATTTTTAACGACCAGTTACTCTTAAGAAAAACTCATGCCCATCGTCAAGTACTTTAACTTCGAAGCAATTACATAGATCCTGGAACTGATAATGGCCAAAGACAGTCTTTGCATGGACAGGATGATGCTCTCATATCAGCAGTAATTGAGGGTTTGACTGGATAGCTTGAGGTGAAAGCAGTACTATCAGTAATATTCTGCGTTAATGTTTCTCAGATCGGATGGGTATTACTTACGTATCTGATGTCACCGTCTCAATCTGTTGAAGGCCAATTTCTCGATCCTGGCAAGCAGAAGATCAGGAAGTATAAGCTATATCTATGACACAGTTTACAGAACGAAAATGTAATAAGCATCCACATTTAACTCACTGCATCTGGTGAAGCATGGTCTGTAATTAGCTCCCACCGTTGCTTTTTGAGGTTTAAAACTTCCACGTCACCATCAGCATATAAAATCTATTGAAAAGGAATTAGAAACATAAAAGGGCAAAAAAAAGAAAGAAAAAAAACAGTTTCCTAAATTATTTCACACTTTGTAAGTCACTGCCAAAGTAGTAAAGTATACAACTGGGGCAAGTTATATATTGTTGACAAGATAGGGAGAGCAGAAGTTCCTTTATGTTCCTACTATGATCAGACAAAAAGACACACTCTTTATGCCCTGTGTAGGTTACAATGAACTAGTATCTTAATCTACAACTACAAGAGTTTTCTTAAATTCTTCATACCTCTCATTAAATATATAAATTCCAACAACTTCATACATCTAACTTGAAAAAGATAAGTCCGTGTATTTGAGAATCCAGCACAAGGAAATTTTAGGTTGACAGCCCGTAGAATCATGGTAAAAATCCGAGCAAAGTAGGAAATGAATGATCACCTCCTCGCATGATAAGTACAAATTGAAAATGAAGGATCGTTTGACACAGCCTTGTCAGAAATTCACAATATTGATGAATGTTTAAATAAGCATAAGGGTCTAAACAAATAAAATAGGATCAGTGAAATCCATCTCACCTTGTGCTTTCCTTTGGCAGGGTCATAAAAATCAACAACACCTTCATAAAACCTGGAAAAAAATGGTAGGTCAATATATATATATATATATATATATATATAGGATAATCCAGCTGGTCCTTGAAAAGCATCGATCAACAATTGATTGACGGAGGCAAAGAAAGTATATTCATAAACCAATACTTAAAGCTATCGACATGTCAGGTCCACATGTAAGAAGACCAGGGGACGAACATATGTATGTGGGATTAATTACCCCACCTCACACAAAGAGGAAGAAAAAATTTATATGTATTATGTATGCAAATAACATTGTCATTAAAGAAAGCTTTAACTTTGCCCCCCAAAATTTTTAACTTTGCCCCCCTTACAATTTTTTATCTCTTTCCTTCAATATTTTATTCCTTTTGTTGATCATAAAATTATATTTACGAAGTAATAGATATATTAAAAGTTTTTCAGTAATTTTATGTCTTTTCCTTCAAGAATAATTAATAATATAATCTTCACTTCTGTTTTTCCTTTCACAAAATTTCTTTTATTTGCCATTTTAGTTGTTTTTTTTTGGGCTCACTATAAGGGAACATTTCTACAATGAAAAGAAAGATATTTTTTTCTACATCATTTGACAAATTATTTTTTTTTCTCACGTTTCAAGTAATGAAACCTGTCAAGCATTAAAGCATATCAAGTGAAAGCATTGGCAGCAGATAAATGCAGTGATAGAAATGGATTGTGCAATAGTGATACGGAAACACGTACCTTTTATCCATTGGCCACCAGACCTTGATCCTGCTACCAACTGAAGGTTCATTGCAGTCATGGATTTCAGAAGCCTGAAGAAAAAGTAACAGAAAACAAACATTAAGAAATTTGGCCAAAAAAGATGCATAAATTGAGAAATAAGCAACTTGAGAGGGGTCAGGTTCCACCGGATGAACACCATGAAAATGCTTCTGATGCAAAAGAGTTTTTGTTATAATTTTCAAAATAAAGCTTCCATGTCAAGTCTTGTTAATTTTGGCGTTATCATTCAAACAAAATAGTAGTCCCTAAAGCCGTAAATTTTGACACTAGGCAATGATTAAGATGCATGCACGATTGAAAAGAATGAAACAAACATTTTTTTCCTTCAACTATCAAGCAATAATGTGAAGGAAACGTCTATATTCCTTCATTAATCTTTACAAGATATATCAACTCATAGGTTCAATATAATTAACACAATCATTATTTTTGAGCGTCACCTTTTAAAAAATACTGGGAAGTGTCACAAAAATGCTTGAGGTAAAGCGGCATCTCAAAAGTTTTAGATAGAAAAGATTGAAATTTCAATACATCTGAATAAACCTTTTATGTGTATGTTCTGAAGTCAGGTTTCAAACGTGATTTCCCAGAAGGGTAGTCACATCAGAAATGTGATCTCAAACACAGCCTAAGTAACACATACCTCAACACTAACAGTGGTTCTCTTCCTCCTTCGTTTTGTTTGAGGGGTTTCTTCAGCTCCGGTCAGTTTCTTACCCAAAGACTCAGTTAGCTGCTGCTAAAATTGGTCACAATATTTGTTCCAAGAAGACAAACAAAGTGAGATTTTACTAGTACTTATATACATGTTCTGTTCAAGCAGATAGTACCAGGTCAGTTGGCCCTACCTTAATAGTACAAGAGCCATTGACATCTTTATTGGGTGGAGCATCAAGCTTCCTCCTTCTCTTAACACTCGTTTGTGTTAAGGCCTGATCCTCCTCTGTATTTGTTGTTTCTATATTCATCACTGGCGTGGCTTTCTCATCTTCACCAGGCTTACCAATTATGTCATCAACTACCGATTCAGTATTCACGGCAGTATTCTCATCAGTCTTGGAAGCAACTTTGATTTTCCTCAGAGGTGCCTGATTTTTCATTTCAGCCTCTTTCATTACTTCAAGATCCCTTTCCGACCTCAGACTAGCAGGTTCCAAAGAAACATCCTCATTCTGTGCAATCAAATGGTCTTCCTTGGTCATTGATACAGACCTAGGGTCAGCACCTTGATTATTGGTGATACTATTTTTCCTTGGCCGACCCCTTTTGCGATGGCTTTTGTCAGGAGTTCTCTGATCTGTTGAAGGTTGAGCAGCATCAATGTTCTTGTCAGTTTCACGCTGGGATACTAGAGCTTTACAGCCCTTATTTTCAGATTTCTTCAGAACAGGGTCCTTTAGCAAATCATGATTTGCGGGAGGTGAAAGCTCAATATCACTATCACAAGCCTTTCTGCCTTGATGTTTTTGTGGATTTCTTATTGGTTTTACGTAGAGAAAGTTCACCAGTACTTTTAGGTTCTAAAAGCAACTTATCCTCTTGGGATGCAGAGCTTTTAGAAGGTGGAAGACCAGCACCCCTATCACAAGCCTTTTTGTGTTTTATGGTTTTCCCTGTTTTAGGTTGGGAAACTTCACCCACATTTTCAGTTGGAAAAAACAGCCACCGTTGCTAGCCTTTTGAAGCTTAACTGCTTTTGCAGATTTGCTGTTCATACAAATCTGAGAGTGATCATAGCCTTCTTCAGGATTCATTAAAGAATTGGGTCTATGACCTCTTTTCTTTGGCATGACATCAAGCTCAGCTTCTGAACTTGATTTTTCAACTGACCTTGAATTTCCATTTTCTAAATTGGTTTTTGTATTCTTTCTTTTCTCATTCTTAGTAAGATCAGAATAAGGTTGTCTCTTTGCACTTTTCCTTTTGATGGTTTCACTGTCCACAGTAGAACTGGGATTCTTTTGTTCAGCTTGGAATCATCCATGGTTTGAGCAACACGTCTTGCACAAGTCATATCTGGTTCTTGGTCCTTAATTGCCCAAAGAATAAAGATGCTTTAATATTCTAGAAAATCAGCGGAATAATACTCTGAATGCTTATTGTCATTGTGATAAGAGAAGGCATGCACATAAAGAGAAGTAGGGAACAAGACTCCCAATCAATCCTACTAACTTAGTTAATTCAAAATTCAAAACAAACTGTCAACAACTAATAACAACCAGAATACAAAGGAAACAAAGGGACATAAGTCAGAAAGGAAAAATGCAAAGAATAATAACAATAAGACTTAAGCAGGATAGGATCATGATCTCCAACAAATATGGCTTGATTGTTTCATTATGCTAAGTTTGCAATTGTGGTATAATGTAAATAAAATACAATAACTTGTAGAGAGATGGAAAAGATAATTACATCACAGTATTGCTCATCTGCACTTTTGCACACGGAAAGCTCGTTTTCACCTGCCTGAACCTGGAAGCATTGCACCACAACCAATCCTAACTTACATGTAGCTCAAAGCCTCAAACCATCTTAAATAGCTGTTTGTTAGGAAACACAAAGCTTATGGGGAGTATGGATTGTGAAACTATGTAAGGTCCTATTATTACAGAGCATTTATTAAAAATATGAAGATGACGGAACAACAAGGCATTAGGGTTTATACTCCAACAAGATAAGATCAATACATGGATTTCTCACTCAATCTATTGTAGCAATTCTTTCCCCTCATCCAAAGTTGATTTCTGGAGAGTCAATCCTTCCAACAAGTACATAACATTTTAACAGGATTATCCAGACCAAATATAAGTAACAAAAGGCCGACTGCACATTATTGTTGACCTATGTCACAGACATTTATCCAGTTGGTTGTGTGCAGTACCTTAGCTTTCACCATATTCATGAAACAAAGATCTGTCCCTAAATCTAATTTGATCAAAAGGGAATTGTAAATAACTAACGAAATCAACAGTGATGGTGAAGGTTCTAGAGAAAGCATAAGAATTAAATTTGTTACATGGTTTCTCATGTCATGCAGCAAAGGTAAGATCAAGCAAGAAAATAAAAAAGTAGTTATGCCAGTTGGTTGGATAGGGTGTTGCATAAGACAAGTAGAACACACCAATGGATCTCCAGAACCATTTGAGTGATTGCATTGAAGTGTTTCAGATCCTCTCTGGCAAATTGAAACTACTATTTCACCAAAAGCATCCAGAGGTCTGCCAGTGGACTGCACCGCTCTCATAACATAGGGCTGAAGCTTAGCAGCACAATTGGTGATAACTTTCTCCGCCAATGACCAAGAGATAGGTGAAATTGCCTGGGAAATTAATAAAGGAAATCAACAAAGTTTAACAAAAGGAGATGAGAAGAAATTGACATAATGCAAAGGAAGTTACCTCATTTTCCTTTCTCAGGCCATCTAATATTGTTCGTAGAAGATCAGCAGAAATTTCTTCACTCTCGTTCAAGACCATTGTCATTATTGCTTCAATGGCAAAGGGCACAACCTCAGGGTGGTTTGGCCTTGAAATTGAGGAAGAAAACCACAAGCCATTAGTAAATCCATAAGTGTATGAAGTTATTCAGGACGAGGGAAAAAGCAAGCTAGTTTTGCATTGGTACTCGTTACAATAACAACATCCCAGAACTTAAGAGCTACCCAATGGCAGAGACATCCTCGACTCTTTCGGTGGCACCACTTCACTTGAGATGCCCGACACAAAATTTTCAT